TTTTAAAAAAAAATTTAAAAATGAACAAATTTAGCATGGTATATACTTAAACTCAACTTGCTAGCACTGGTCTTGTGATCATTTATGAACACAGCATCTGACACGTTCTAGGTATTTCAGGGAACATACCTACACCTGTGGACAGGAGCTTGCAGATTTTGGGGAATACAGGGAAAGCAGGAGAAAATAATGTCATTGGAGCTAGGGTAGCAGTGTGGCTGACCCTGGCTTTCAGTTTCTCGAGCACCGAGCTTTGTGTGTGAACTGAAAAGATCGGGCTGTGAGTCTCTGTATGGAGCAATCAGTAGACAAGGATACGACACAGGCGCTTTGCCAGCAGTTTACACAAGTGTTTTTGCTTGATGTCAGAGATGCTGAGAATAAAAATTCTTGGGTTCTCGCTTGGTTGTGGAGATGATTGTCACTGACATCTCAGAGGTGCTGAGTATGTGTATTTGATGCAGTCGTTCTATCTTTAAGGATAAGCAGAGGAGATTTAATTCATGTTAAAAACCTAGAGGCCCTTGATATGCATTGTTTGCCCGGAACTCAGGTCTTGTTTTAATAGGCTGCCTTGAAGTCAGTGAGTCTGTAAGCCAGCACAGTGTTACTTTGGATCAGATGCCATAGTTTATAAGGGCTAGCCCTGTCTGAAAGCGCTCATGGTCTTTGAAAACAGGATTATCAGCAGTACTGCAAGTGTGTTGCTGGAGTGCATTATTGGTTAGAAATGCACATTCTGGACCCCTTAGGAGCAAAGAGAAAGTGCCACTGTTACTGAGGATTCAATATAGCAGCTTTAACATGTCTTTTCTTTCAAGAAGGGGAAAACAGCGTACAGCATTTCTGTTGATACAAATAAAGACCTATTTCTAAATGTTGAGAGAAAACATAAGGCAAACTGTGGATCAGATTTAAGTTTAAATTATATTTGAAAAAGCATTTTGATAGATTTTAACTATGACACATTTGTTTCTGTCTGATGTCTGAGATACAGTAGCTGTATTTCATGCCAGCATTGTTTCTAAGAAATTTCCTTATTAGAATTAAACAGTATACAATCTCTCACTTAAACCCAAGCAAAACCTTTTTTTGGAAAGCTGCTAAGTTTCTAGAAACCAGCTAGGCTACTGTGTCTTTTTGGTGGAGAGAAGCACAGGAAAACGATGCACCATGTTCACTCTTGGGCATTTATTCTTGTGTGTAGGGGTCTGCCATAGCTTATGGGGAAACACACACTGTGCCTGGCAGTGGGAGTGTGCTGTGAGGATCTTGATAGCTGTGCATGGCTGAGCAATAGGATGCTTAATGAGGGGGTGCTGAATGATGCAGCGTGTTGTGCCAACACCTTCTTAGAGGCACCAGATCATGCTTTTACAATTAAATAAAATAGACCAGTGGCTGTTCTCCGTCCCGAGGCCAAATGGTATGGCACAGCTCCTTCCTGCACACCTGAGCTTGCTTTCTTTCCAGAAGGGACGGGCAGTGACCACACTGGCTGTCAGGGTGGTGCCTGGTGTCTTTGAGTGCCCCAGTTGTGCCCAGTCACTCACTCTCTGGGATCCTGGGGTGAGCAGGCAAAAAACATGCTAGCAAGAGTGCAGGCAAGCTGCATAAACAATCTCTGGTCTATTTTGTTTACTAGTAAAGTTGTAGCCGTAATGTTCAAGACCTGTGGTGTCATTCTTCTGAAATTCTTCTTGCACATACATGTAGAAGGGTTGTATGTAATTTATTTAAACCATTTCGTTCCTACTTTTGGATTCTAAATGCCTCTGATTTTGGTAACACCATTATGCTTAGCCATGTACACCGGTTCATCGTTGCAATTTCAGATTCATAGTGCACATGTGCTTTTTTTTTTTAATTAATCTTTACTGACAAAATATCAACAGAGCAAGTGCTTGACAAAATTTGAGAATCGTAATGAGGATGCAGTAGTTACGGAAATACAGTTCTGGGACTAACATCCTTTCAATTACAAACTGAGAATATTTACTCTGTCTTGAGTAAATTTTGAAAGTGAACCTCAGATAAACAGTTAGTTAAGGGGTATTTTTATGTTCAACACCGACTGTGAAGCTATGAAACCAGCAGTTTAAGCTTTAAAGTTTAATTATCAGAGTATAACAGAGAATATGTTCAACAGTCATTCTGTTTATCAAGATACTCCTTTAATTTGTGTTAATATAAATATTGCAATATAAATGATGCAATATTTATATCTTAAAATTGTGTTAATATGAATCTGTGTTAATTTAAATATTTCAGTATAAATATTTTAAATCATCCAGCCATTCCACTGTCATGACTTTTACCTGGGGATGCAAGAAGATGCTGTGTGTCTTGAATAGTTTGTGACTTCTGCAGATCATCCTTTCACATTGTTAAGTCATTTATAACAGCCGACGGTCACTTATGGGTTGTACCAGCTGGAATGAAGCACGACTAGAGTACTGAGGGGAAAAAAGGGTAGGTGAGAAAAAAGAACAAAGGAGGTAGAAACTAAAGAAGCAGAGATGCAGCGTGATGACCAAGAGTGAAGCCTAGCACAGTTAAGGTGCTGTATTATGTTAATTATAACCAGGGAGAAAGTGTTTGCTGACCTTCATGTGGGACATATAGGTAAAAATAATCAGTGGAAAAGGCAACAAAAGAAGTGTTAGAAAAAGTCCTTGAAATGTCATGTATTTAATCCTGCTGGTAAAAGGATCTGTTGGTGGTGAAAATTAATACCTCTGTTTCCCAGCATGTAAGAAATGTAAAATTCTTGACCAAATTTAGCTTAGCTTCTGATACATCCTTTGGTTTTCTGCATTTCTGCTTGAACTAGTGTTCAGTTTCTTCATTAAGCTGTAAAAGTTGTGATTAGTCAGTTCTGCAGCTGGACTTACACCTAAGTTACTCGCCCCTTGGGAAACATTTTAAGTGTCTCCTCTCAGATTTGTTTTGGTAAGAAATCTTGACCAGTCGGCTTGGTAGCTTAAGGGGTCACTGACAGTGTGCTATACACCATCTCCAATCTAATTTTTAACCAAAATGTAGGCTATAATTAAACTAGGCATATAATTAAAGGATTTGAGATAAAACTTTTCTGGGTACAAAAAAATGCTTTTGTAATGAGAAAAGCCTGTGCTCAGATCCCATCATTCTATTTTAAAAGGAGGACTGATTGCAGAAACTGTGGTGTACTGTAGGCTGTTAGTGAATTATGTTGATGTTACTAGTGTATTTTGAAAGCAGCTTTTCCTGTAGAGATGTGAATAGGGTGTGTCACTGGAAACCATATTGCATTTTGGTTAAAATTGGTGTGTAATAACGTTTCTCCATTTGCCCACTATTTTCAAATGTCTTACTGAGCACTGTAACATAGGGAGATTTTTTTTCAATCAAAAAGAGTCGAGTTCCTCCACATATAATGCCCCTTACGAAGTTACAAACTGGGAGGGATTCCCATCAGAGCCTCACTGCCACACTGCAGGCAGAGAGGGGGGATCAGAGACCTCCTGCTACCACTCGCCTCCTGTCTGGAGAGGGACTTGCAAAAGACCTGATCTGATGAAAAAGGGAGTGTAATAAAACTTGTGCCACTTGTCAGCCTTTGGGTTTCTCCCAGGACATGCCCTTACAGCTTCGATGTTAGCGGTAAGAGTAGGTTTTAAACTGACAGGTAACTGACCTCTGGAAATCTTCCACTAGCTCTTTTAGACCAGCTGCTTTCCAAGTAGGTTCCCCTTACAGCATGCCATCACTGTAGCAAGCTCAGTAATTTGGCTCAGTAATTTATTCTGGCTTGTATACGTATCTGTAGCCACTATATCTGAAAATAGATTTTTAAGTATGTTCTAAATGATTGTAGCTCTTTGAAACATTATGTCTCTCTTAAATGATATCTATCCAGTTAGCCAATATTCTCATAGGACATGACTTTGGTGTAGCATATTGTTATTAGTTTTGTTATTATACATTACTTCAGTGAGACTGTAGAATTATTCTACCATCAGTGCAGTGGACTGTTCAATTTCTGTCTTCTCCAGGAAATATTAAGATAGGATTTTCTGAAGCATATTCTAGCCTGAAAAACCTAAGCAGGAAAATAATATCCTTTTCTACTACTGATGGTCACATATACTTTGTTACCCATTGTCTGCTCCTAGGAATAATAATAATAAAAAAAAGGTGACTGCTGGCCCATTATTTCTTTTTTAACTTTACTGCTTGTTGTTTTATGTATTTTTCAGTAAGAATGTCTTGTATTGATTCTCAGAAGCTGGAATTGCCGTGGAAGCAACAAAAGTTGCTGTGTACCCAAAGACCTAGTTCAGCTGAGTTATCACCCATCTCCTATCACGTACTGATAGGCTGTTCAGATTAGACCTGAAGAGGTTGAGAAGTTCAAAATGAAATGGCAGTGCTTTTTGGTAGACAAGGCTTGTCTACCTGTCTGCTGCAGGCAACTGCAGTTCACAAGCATGTAATGCGTATTAGGATCAGCAAGATGTGTCAGCTGTGGGCTCCTGAGAGCAGAGATCAGGATGAGAACTCAAGCAAAAAGACACCTTTTTTGTTTTTTTCACTGCTTGCTTTCGTGAAGCAGGGCCAGGAACCAAGGCAAAATTGTGGCCTGCACTGAATGGCTTACAGGGCTTTACTGCTTTAAAATACATTTAACTAAGGGTTGGTTTCATTTCATCTAACTTTTCGGGTGCCCTCAGTGGTGAATAGAGAAGGAGCCATCTTTGCAAGGGTGAGTTTCTCTCTCCCACCTGAGCTCACAGTGCTGGCTGCCTGGCAGGGATGGCAGAGCTGGCTGCTGGAGCCCAGAAAGGTCTGTGTTTGTGCTCTGGTGGCTCTCAGGCTTGAGAGGGGAGGACTGAGGAGCTTCCAGGTGGAAGGCTGGCCACTCCGCTCTCCAACTTCACTCTAAAATGGGCCTGAAACCTGCTTGGGAAGTCAACAACCCACAGTAATGTAATGCTTTTCCCATTTCTCACTTTCAGCCCTGTTTCATCCGCTTTGATCCATCCATTCCTGATCGGAAAGCACAAGCCCAGCAGGAGGGAGCAGCGGGCTGCAGGCTCACCTTTGCAGGTGCCAGCCACCCTACCAACAGCTCTGCTCCCAGGTGTGAGGTAAGGTCATACAGGGTCGGGGGGGGCCGGCTTCTCACACGAGGGAAGAACAATTTCAAGGTTGGCACCAAATATCCTCCCTGGCCTTTTACCCCACAGAAGTTGTCTCACGCTTGTGGATGCTGTTTTTAATCTGTTTTCTTCCCCTCAGCTGTAAGTCTGAGATCCCCCCCAGTGCTGTCCTCTGCGTAGCTACAACTGTGTGAGGGGTGAGAGCTGGTGAGAGGCAGCTGTCCCTCTCCTCCTGCAGTCTGACCTTAGTTTTGAGGTTTCCTCCCAGCTACCATGGGTGCTGGTAGTCACTGCGCACCATCTTCATGGTTTGTCCTCTGCTGTCTCCCAGCTCACCAGCCTGTAGTTGAGGTGTTATCTATGCTTTGCAAATACCACAAGCACCACCTGCAAAACTGAACTGAACCTACCATTTTTCCATCTGATGAAAAAGCATTACAGAAGGAAAATATGCTTTTTGCTTTTTTTTTAAATTGCCCCTTCTGTGTGAATGAGAAAAGTGTGCTTCATCTTGCCATCAGTGTAGTGTTTACCTGGTAGCGAAGATTACCTCTAAACAAATACTTGAAAATGAAGAACTTGAAATGAAATGAAAGAACTTAGCTTTTCACAAATTCTGCTTTTTACTCTGGCCTTTGCACTTTTACAGTCAGGCTTGAAAAGTTATGTTTTTCTATCACTGTGAATGCCGCTTAGCTTGTCAGTCATCTGTAAAATGAATGTGTAGAATAAAGCAACGTGAAACTTTTAGACTTCAAAACCCATGAAAAACATTTGAGGAACAAAAGTGTTTATTTTATGTACTTTGAGATCCTCAGCTGGTGTCAGCAGCTCTGCTGAAGTCAGTTTAGTTATGCCACCTCGGAACCGATGGCAAAATATCAAGTGTTAATGCAAAGAGCAGGCACTGTGAAGCAGCATTTAAAGGCCACATGGAGGAAAGTATAACAAGGTCCCTAAAAGATCCATACTACAAAAAAATGGTCCCTGGTAGTATTTTGCTTTTCTACGCTTCTCCTTTCTCCTGTTCCCCTTCTTGTGATATTCCAATAACATTGTATTCTTCAGTTTTTCTCCTGAGGAGAATGATACCTTTTCCAAGCTGTGCAATGGCAGTGCAGTGGCTTATATCCCATGGAGTTGGATCATAGTGTGGCACTGTTTATTTGGTTTCCAGTGGATTATGTTTCTAATCCCAAATGTCTATATACAACAGCATTCTTGTGTCTGATGGCTTTTCCGCCTTCCCTTCTATTGACGACACGATCTTCATTTTTAATGAGTTCCTGAAATACAAACCTCTTTATGTTTTGAAGGCAGAAAAGAGAAAGAGGTTGAACTTCTTAAAAATTCAACTGAAAATGTGAACATTTCCTTGAAGCTTCCTCTCCTGTGGTGATCCAGCCATTTGGTACCACCTTCTCTCTTCTGTCAACAAAACGGGACTAATACTTTGAAGATTTCTGTGAAACTTTTCTCACATGAGACCAGATTGACAAAGGTGTAAAACTCCATGAAATCAAACTCATCAAACTACTTTTTGCTTCCCTTTTTGCAAATCTCCCTTATTTGCCAAATCATATGGGACAAAAACGCAATGCCAGTTATGCTGAATGTAGCAGCTTAGCAATGTTCCTTGCTCTCGGTAATAACTTTTAGCAGAAAATGCATGCTGACTTTTTTGTGCAGTTTCGTCATGCTTACTAATTTTAGTCAGTAATAGAATATTATGTAGTACAAAATGACATGTATAGTAGTATATTCGTCATATTAACATTTATTGATACGTAAATTTCTACCATTTTTATCTGAAACTGAAGATAATATTGTACTCAGGTTCTCAGATACCAACATTTCCTTATGTTCCCATGAAGTATAGTCTTAATTGATTGCCTTTTGTAATTTATATTGCACATCAGTGTTACTTTAACCCAAGCCTTGCTCCACAGTGTTGTTGCAATTGTTGTTCTTTCTTTTTTCCCTCTTAACATTTGGCTACAGATGAACTGTTCATGAAATTATTGTTCAATATTTTGACTTCTCTCCAGTTCTGTCATCTCTCACTTTGAAAACTACTTTTTAATCTCTTTCTCTCTCTCCTTTTTTTAAACTACTTGAGCTAGATGGTAGCTGTAGCTTTTCGGTTTGGAAATTTGTGATTTTTTTTCTTTTTTTTTTTTTTTTTTGTAAACAGTTTATATTGTAATCTCTCTAAGTAGCTAAAAATTATAAAACTTTGAAGAGTTTATAGAGAGAGAAGCATCACGCATACAACCTTTAAATAGGTCATCTCTGAAAGGCATCTGTTCAGCTGGTGACCAGAAGAGTGAACGAAATCAATTGTTTTCTAGATATTTGTTTATATGTCAGTGGATAAAGAGATAAGGACTTCAGATTTCCATGTAAATATTACATCTTTCCTTGAGTAATAAAGAATTCCTGTGATTGTAGAATCAGATTCACAGATGCAAAACAAGAAAATAAAGCTCAATATGAAACAAAAATGAATTTAATTCCTGCTTTAGGCTCGCTTTCCACTGAGTCTGTGGAATCACGACAGTGGGAGAGCTTGGGTCCCCTTGGGCACTTCTGGCTGATGTGCAACTTCTGATCTTCTAAACGTGTTACATTTCACTGTGCTCAGTCCCTGTGCTTCACTCACAGAATATTTTTATCATTTTCTCACGAAGTGTATACAAATGTTGCATTGATAGTTGCAAATATATACAAAAATATTTGTGGTTCAGTAGCACCTTGAGCTGTTAAACAGGTGGCATTTCGTCCTGCTATGTACTGTAGACAACATTGGTTTTGCCTTGAAAGCTGTCTGGCTTAAATGGAATGTAAAAAAATAAAACAGCAGTGGAGCTGGAGAAAGCAATCAGTATATACAATCCTGCTGTAATAAAATATGGGCATAATTTTGTCAGTTCAGACCATGCTAATGTTCTTTCAAAATGAATTAATAAATTCATATGAAATACTTGAATGCTATCATGCATTAAGAAAAACAGTCATGTAACTGCTGAAGGCAGTTTATTAGGTAACAATAAATATTGGCTGCAATTGTCTGCAGGAAAAAAAACCCCTCACTTTGTATATTTTTGCTTCACGGCTATCTCGTATACTTGATATTTCTGCCATGTGGAAGTCTGAGAGGCTGTACAAGGGATGCCATACCTTGTACTCTACCTGTGTGTAAGGGTTATTTGGTTAATGCTTATTTTTGTTTCAGACTTCTTGGGGAGCTTGTAGAGTCTTTGTCACTGAACACTTGTAAGAACAAGTAAGAGATACCTGTTGGCATATACCTAGGTCTGTTTTACCTTGCTTAGGGGCAGAGAATGAACTAAACACCGTCTTGATGTCTGTTTGGTCCTAATTTGCCTGATACTCAATCTGCTTGAAGTGGTCATCTAAAAGCTTGCTGGTAAATAGTTTATGAAGCTGAGAAAGTGTAATTGAATTTATTTTTCCAGAAGGAATTTATTCACTGAATGTTACATACTAGTTTTTTCTACTGGTGATAATCACTTAATCATTTCTCCAAAATTTCTTCATTAATTCACCTGTGTGTGAGAGACCAAAATCACTTATTCATTAGTGTAAAGCATTTTGCTAAAAGAACATGTAGCCCCGTCTGGAGCGAGGTGTAAATTCCTGATCTAGTTTCTGGTTGTGGATCATTTAATTAATGGACTGGCTGATGATGGAGACACACTTTTAATTCAGGCTCTCTTAAAAAGGTCAGAGTGTGGTATATTCCTGACAGCCTCACTGATTTATAATGCTTTCAGAGGAGTCACTGCACTAGTTAAGAAATACCCTATGTGCACCCATCAGTTCCTTAGTCAGAGGAATGCCAGCTGGTTCTTTGCGTTCCCTGGCTGGAGCTGCTCAGAGGTAGATGGCGACGTTCTTCGTGTTGTCACTTTTGGCAATATATAAAACTCACCGGAATGCTTGAAATTACCTTTCCATGTACTACTTTTTCATTGCAAAGATCATCATGATTTTTTAGGTCATGATGGAATGTGTTGCCCTGCCTGTTCAGTGAGGTCTCCTAAACAATGTTGTTAAGGTGGTCTGTCCTTTGCAAAACACTGTTGTTTCTGTAAAGAGAAGGCAGTGTGGTGGCCTAGAAGCAGTTGTTTTCAGTTTCTTGAAAAGGTTGAAATGTGTTTCAAAATGAGTGAAAATAAAATTGTGTGTAAGCAGTTGACAGTTATGTGTGTATGGGGAACTTTTTTTCTTTAACCAAGTCACAGTGATGACAATGATCCCCAAATCAGGTATTAGAAAGGTACAAGGGTTTTGGGTAGTACATTTAAACTTCAGATCAGAGGAGCGTGCAGAAGAACTGCTGATTTTTAGTGCTATGAAAGTAAATGTTATTTTACTTCTACTGGCATATACTCCCAAAAAGAAGCTGCAAACAAAGTTAGGTTGGTTCAATAGGATTTTAGAATTTTTATGGCAAAAGAAATCTGTAAGTTAGATTTTAGTTTGTCTTACCCAGAGCTTTCACATCCACTTTATCCCTTGCCAGGGAAAAAAAACCCAACTTTAAAGACTTTGTTTTATATCTTATTTACTGGGTTGCATTCCAGAATTGCTGTGGAGATTGCTGTTGTAAATTTCAGTGGTGGCCATGTGATAAGGGAGTTGTAACCTCCCAGAGACTTTGATAAAAGTTTTCTCCCATTCTCCACAGAAATTTAACAGGCCTGGCAAGCATGGGAAAGAGAAAGATGGGCCAGCTATCTCTCAGGGCTGGGTGTGGGTGGAAGAAGGACTCGTCCCCTTGAAGAATAGTCCTAGAACTAGAGGAGCCAAAGGGCAATGAAGCTGACAGTCAAACTTTACCATCCTTTGAGCTTTCTGGGCTTATTCTGACTTAAGCTGTGCAAGGAGAAAGAGTAGTGTGCAACTGTAGGATGCGTGCATTAGACCTGGTTATAGCGACTGTCACGAACGAATG